GGTTCTTCTTCTCGATATCGAGGGTCCCGTGGGTCTTCTTCATCGACCCCTTTATCTGTTACAACGGCTGTCACTAATGAGCCTCAGCACTCGTCTTACTCTCTTCAAGATATTGAAGCTATTCTCAAACAGGTTATCTATTCCAATTCTTCTATGTCTGCTACTGCAGGTAACCCTCATTGGTACTTTGATTCTGGTTGTTGCAATCACATGACCTCTAGTCCACAGTTTTTATCTTCCTCGTCCCTCGTAACTTCTTTACCTCCTATGCATACTGCCAATGGTACTCATATGAATATTACTCACACTGGTTTGGTTTCTTCCCCCTCTTTACACCTTCCCGACACGTACTGCATTCCTGACTTGGCCTTGAATCTTATTTCTGTTGGTCAATTGGTTGAACAAGGTCTTAATGTTATATTTTCCTCTTCTGGTGTTCAGGTTCATCATACACAGACGGGTCAGCTTCTCGGGACGGGTCGCAAGATGGGTCAGTTATTTGAGCTTGAGTCTTTTCATATCCCTCGTTCTTCCTCCTTTTCTGCTCCGGTCATCGATAATAAGTCCAGCTTTCAGTGGCATCTTCACCGTGGGCATGCGTCTTCAAATAAAGTTCGTTCTTTATATAATAAATGTCTTTTAGGTCCGGGTCATTTTGAGTCTTTTAGTTGTCTTCATTGTAAACTTGGGAAACACTCGGCTCTTTCTTTTTCTGAGAATTTGTCAACTGCTGATAAACCTTTTGGTTTGGTACATTCTGATATTTGGGGTCCTTCTCCGGTTGCTTCTATGAATGGTTTTGTTACTTTGTTATTTTTGTTGATGATTTTTCTCGCTTTACCTGGATCTATTTTCTCAAACATCGTTCTGAGTTGCCCATTATATATATTCAATTTGCTCGAATGATTCACACTCAATTTTCTTGTCCTATAAAAGTATTGCGTACTGACAATGCTCTTGAGTACAAAGATTCTACCTTTTTACAGTTTCTTTCTGATCAGGGCACAGTAGTTCAACGTTCATGTCCTTATACTTCTCAACAAAATGGACGAGCTGAATGTAAGCATCGTCATGTTCTTGATACTATTTGTGCTCTTCTCCTTTCTGCTCAGTGTCCTGATCGTTTCTGGGGTGAGGCAGCCTTGACTGCTATTTATGCTATCAATCGATTACCCTCTTTGGTTCTTCGAGATATCAGTCCCTTTGAGAGGTTGTACGGTCAGTCACCTGATTATACTCAGTTACGCCCTTTTGGTTGTGTTTGTTTTGTTCTTCTCCCATCTCATGAGCGGACTAAATTAGAACCTCGGGCTCGTCTGTGTTGTTTTTTGGGTTATGGAGTAGAACACAAAGGGTTTAGGTGTTTGGATCCTATTGCTAATCGGTTGCGTATTTCGCGTCATGTTACGTTTTGGGAGCATACTACTTTTTCTTCTTTGTCTAAATTTCACATTCCCTTTGATTCGTCGTCCCCTTTCTTCATGTCCACTACTTCGGATCTTTTTCCAGATACTTGTCCTGACTCACAGCTCATTGACACGCCTGTCATGCCTCCGTCTTCTGAAGTGGCTCCACATGCGCATCCTGAACCGACGGTTCCTGTTGAGTCCTCTTCTGATTCTGTCCCTTCGCCCACCATTGATCACCGACGATCAACCCGTGTAAGTCGTCCCCCTTCTCACTTACTTGACTATCATTGTTATTCGGCCATTCTATCTCATCATGAGCCTAGGTCTTTTCATGAGGCGAATGCTGATCCATTGTGGCAAAAAACTATGGCTGAGGAATTACAGGCCTTAGAAAAGACTCATACTTGGGATTTGGTGGATTTACCTGCTGGCAAGACTCCCATCGGATGCAAGTGGGTGTATAAGATCAAGACAAATTCAGATGGCTCTATTGAGCGCTACAAAGCTCGTTTGGTTGCTAAGAGTTACTCACAGGAGTATGGCATAGATTATGAAGAGACCTTTGCACCGGTTGCTCGTCTTACTACTATCCGGTGTTTACTTGCAATTGCTTCTATTCGTCGATGGTCTCTTCTATAATAAGATGTCAAGAATGCCTTCTTACATGGTGCCTTATCTGAGGAGGTTTACATGACTCCTCCTCCTGGATCATTGTCATCTGGGAAAGTTTGCCGTCTACGTCGAGCTTTGTATGGCTTGAAACAAGCGCCTCGTGCTTGGTATGCCACTTTCAGTTCTGCATTGTTTCAGTTTGGTTTCACTATGAGTGATCACGATTCTGCTTTATTTCTTCGGCGCTCCTCCTCCGGGATCATTATTTTGCTACTCTATGTTGACGATATGATCATCACGGGGGATGATATTACCGATATTTCTGATTTGCAGGATTATCTTCGTCAGCATTTTGAGATGAAGAGTTTGGGCCAGCTTCGCTATTTTTTGGGTCTTGAGATCTCTCGTCTGATGGATTCTATTTGTCTCAAGCCAAGTATGCCTCTGATCTTCTTGCTCGAGCCGGTCTCACTGATTGTCAGACAGCTTCCACACCTCTTGATTATGATGTTCGTCTTACTCCACTTGATGGCTCTCTTCTTGAGGATCCTACATTATATCGTCAGCTTGTTGGGAGTTTGATATACTTGACTGTCACTCGGCCTGATATAGCTCATGTTTTTCATATTGTGAGTCAGTTTATGGCTGCTTTGCGAACCACGCATCATTCTGCTGTGTTGCACATCCTTCGCTATGTCAAGGGCACTCTATTGCATGGTTTACACTTCTCGGCCCATTCTTCTTTGACGCTTAGCGGTTATTCTGATGCAGATTGGGCTGAAGATCCTACTGATCGTCGTTCTATTACTGGGTACTGCTTCTTTCTCGGTGATTCACTTGTCTCTTGGCGCAGTAAAAAGCAAACATTGGTTTCCAGATCGAGTGCTCAGTCTGAGTATCGTGCTCTTGCTGATTCCACCTCAGAGTTATTATGGCTGCGTCGACTACTTGCTGATCTTGGTGCACCTCAGTCGGCATCTACTGCTTTACATTGTGATAGTCAGAGTGCTATAAAGATGTCTCATAATGATACCTTTCATGAGCGTACCAAACATATTGAGATTGACTGTCACTTCATTCGACAGCATGTTGCACATGGGACTGCGAAGCTTGTTTCCGTCTCCTCTGAAGATCAACCAGCGAATGTCTTCACGAAGTCTCTCCTTCCCGGTCGCTTTTGTTTACTTCTTAGCAAACTCAAGTTGATTTCCACTATACCACCTTGAGTTTGAGGAGGGGTGTTAGTTATGTTAAATGTTTTCTTGTACAATAAGTTAGGTTTAGGTCAACTTAGGCGGCTAAGGCCCTTCTATGTATCTATATATATGTGTATATGTCTTTGTGAATGATACATCAGATATTTTTCCCACTTTCTCACAGACGTTCTATTTATAATTACATTCCAATTTTAATTCACGAGCGAGATCAAACTCGCGCGTCGAATTTCTATCGAGACCCTTTCCAACGCGTTTTGCAAGTCACCGGAGTTCATATTAATGGACGGTCCTAGATACCAACGGACCAAAACCCGATGTTGGGCAATTTGTCGAACAAGGCGTGGAGAAAACTTTAGGGGGAGTGTATTCAATTTAGATTTCTAAAGATTTTTTAAGACTTTAGAAATCCCAATGTATTAATTTAGATTATTTAATACTTTTAAAAGTCTTGAGGTATTCAATTGAGATTTTTAAAAAGTCTTTACAGAATCTGATGTATTTACCTTATTTGAGAATATGATTTGTTAAGAATTTTTAAGATTTGGTGGAATTGCTAAAGAAAAAAGTTTATAGGAAATCTCACTTCAAATCTCACCTCCAAACTTAAGGGAGGTGTATTCAGTTGAGATTTCTAATGACTTTTTAAGGTTTTAGAAATCGTGTCGTATTCAATTTAAATTTGGTAAGACTTTTAAAAGTCTTGGGGTATGCAATTGATATTTTAAAACCTCTTACAAAATTTTATGCTATTTAATTTATTTCAAATTAGGATTTGTTAAGACAAAAAAGATTTAGTGGGATTTCTAAAAAAAATTTTTATACGAAATCACATTTCAAATCTTACCTCTAGACTTAAGATTTCACATAATTTTTTTGAAATCTAAAATTTTTAAAATGTCTCAAATCTTAAAAAGTCTTAAAATGTCAGTAAAAAATCCCAATAGAATACACTCCCCCAAGATTTCACATATTTATTTTAAAATAAAAAAATCTTAAGTTATAAAAAGTCTCAAAATGTCATTTGAAATCTCAATTAAATACAGTCCCTTGATTTTAGGTGGGACTAATTTAAGGTGAATTTGTGAGCTAGGAAATTATCTCCAATTAGTCGCGACATTTTGAGTATTAATATTAAATATAACTACGACGAGTTATTATTAATTTTTTTTTTTTAAATAGAGTTATTATTAATTGAATAAAACTAACGGAGAATGCTACCATCCCATTACGGGATAGTTCCGTTGTATTTTTTTAGCGTAGATTACCTACACATTATAAGATTACATATATATCTACGAAAAATCG